GGCAGAGAGCTTAAGTTTTTTTTTTTTTTTTTTTTCAATGCACTACAATAAAATATCAGACCAGACCTCTCCATGTTCTGTATGTTGTTATCATTAATTAAGGGCCTTTAAGTATAAGTGATTCATTAGTTTTTATCCATCACTGGCATTAATTATTTTACAGAAAATCACATTGACTGAGGACGGAAGAATATTTTGGAAGGAGAAAATGTGTGTGTTTTTTTATTATTTTTATTTTCTCCCTCCTTCTTTTTTGTCCGTTAAGGAGTCGTGAAAGGAGCACAGGATGCGAGTTGGAGTTTGTTTAAAGTGTGCTCTAATGACGCGCATTAATCTTACCTTGTAGGTTGGGTGCCATGGATCCCTCGGGGAAAATCCCGTCCTTCATATACACCAGGAGCTCCTCCCCTGCTTCAATATCCCGAACAGCTTTATAATAAATCTAAGGAGAGGAGGGGGGGGGGAATAAGGGGAAAAAACAGAGGGAGACTTTAAGTTGAAATAAATGAAAACTACATTTCTGATTTTTTTTTCCTTTTCCTTTACCTGTTCCAATTTGCATATCAGCAAGGTTAGACATCCCATTGAGGCAATTGTTTAATTTTAATCTTACTCGTTAGAAGAATAAAATGGAATAAATCGACTAAGCCGTTTTACTCCTGAAAACATTCTAGATTTTATGAAAAAAAAATTAACATATGATAAAAGGTAACTTTATTATCTGAAAACAAATAAATAGTAACAAAAAAGTCGGCACTCATATTCACGCTTTTATAGATAAAAAGTGAAAAACAAAACATATTAGCCACAGATGTCAAGCTGAGAAAAGAGTGAGAGCACGTTACGTTAATATCTACATATTAAATGCTGATTAAATTAATTGATCGAATTTCTTGTCGACATACTCATTGTTATTACGCTAAAAGCATAAAAAAGAAGATGAAGAACGTCACAGACAAAGGCCGTTCTGATCCGAGGCCTTATTTCTTAGATCTAGCAGGTGAAATAGTCTCACAGACGAAATGAAAATTTCACAAAAATTACAATAATAACGAAAAATAATCATTCATGTGATATTATAAAAAGCAAAACAAATATACTGCTTTTAAATAACACCGTATCCAACCACACATACTGATTACAATGATTTTGACCACATGGGGGCGCTCTGCACCAAGTGAAACTGCAGCGCAGCAAGGCAGCCGAATACTCCCCTTCATACACACACACACGCACGCGCGCACCTACAGACACACACACACACACACACACACACACACACACACACAACACAAAGCCTATATAGGTAACAGAGGCTGGACAACTCAACTCTCAAATTTTAGTTCGTTTAACATAGAAAACAAAGAGAAGAAAATTATTAATTAATTTATTATTATTATTATTATTAGTTTTCTTTCTTTCTTCTATTTTTTTAACAACATTTAGATAACACACACACACACGCACACACATAATCTCTGCGGGAGCCTCGCGACGCGGTTTTCGGCCTGACCTTTCTTTTCTCCGTGAGACGAAAGAGTTGAGAAAGTTGCGCGGCGCTGCGGAGAGCCTCCAGCTGCAGTAGCACTTCAGTCCCGGAGGAGTTGGCGACACAACCCATAGTAAGTTTACCGCAGAGGGAGAGTGAGAGAGCGAGAGAGGGAGAGGGAAAGGGGAGACAGAGCGGGACGCTGCTGCGGCTAGGGCCGGGGACAGCAGGTCGCGGGTCGGCCGGCGGCGCTGAGTTCGCTCGGTGTTGATTCCCTCCGGCTGGGTGGGTGAAGCCTCGACGCTCCTCTGCTGGGTTACTCGCTAATCTAGTCACCGAGCGCGTCTTTGATGATGATGATGATGATGATGAGTCTCTCTCTCTCTCTTTCTCTTTTACTCTCTCTCTGTTTCAGACTCCCTCCTCTCTCTCTCTCATTAGTGATTCCCCATTGCCCCTTGGTGCTCTCTCGGTTACCCGTCGGCCACTCCTCCTCGTCTTATCTCCAGCCAAAAGGATTGAGGGATCTGCGGCGCAGACCCCTCCCCGCATCTTCCAACTCAGTGGCCGCGTCGGCCGCCTGATAAATCTGTTACTGATGTAAATAATGGATAAAGAAGCCCGGCCAGACTTAAACTCACTCTATCAGGCATTCACACCAATAACACACACACTCACACACACACACACGC